AATATTCCAATACAGCTGGACATTGATAATCCTATGGATGAACAATATGCAAAGAAATCATCTATTCCTGATCATGGTATTTCCGACAGTGCAGTTTTAGAACAAAACACAAAGGAATTCTTGATTCTTCAACATGTGAATTCTACTAGTAATACCAAAAAGGCAACTTAGATCCTACAACTTTATTGGAACCTGTTAGTACAAATGTTAATCAGACAGACCCCATTCCTCACAATGGAAGCATTTCTACACAGCCTAATATTGCTCCCAATGAACCTGATGAGAACCCACCTTTATGCAAGCATATTGAGATCCCTAATCCCTCTCATTTGGTTGTATTGGAAGCTCACCATAATAAGTTGGCACCACTTATTTCTGCTGGGGAAGGTTCTCATGCATGGGTAGAATGCCAAGATCAACGTGAGCTCTCTACTAAAATTTCAATATACAATCAGTTGGATCAGCAAGTGGAAGATGAATGATAGATTTATAAATCTAAGAAAAAGAAAAAAGGAATGTCTCATCTCTAGAATCTACAGGATTACTGTTTGATCGTCGCGGGTGGAAGCCCACTTCATAGTTTGTTGTTGGACTCCATTCCTAGAACCAAGGGGAGGGGGAGAGACAAATCCTCCAATCATGATTGATAGTTTTGCTTTGCTTTTGGGCATGACAATCCATCCGATCTACTTTTCGTTATTCCTACTTTACTCATTTTTCTTCGCGTGTATTGCATAAAAAAAAGAAGAAAAGAAAAAAATCTGCATTTGTATTTTTATTTTAATTATTTGTTGTCTCGTTGATTACCATTGATCGTCATTGCCGGTCTCATTCGAGAAGGTATAAAAATGGGGCAATAGGACAACTTTTTAAAATATCCATTCAAGGAAGCTCGAGTAGCATTCTTGGGAATTAACTACAGTTCGCGGAAATTGCTTGCTCATTTGGAAAATTTTCATAAAATTAGGGGATTTAAAATACTCGTCCTAAAAATGCGAGTGATCGTCCTTGTTAATTAAATATTGTTCGGAGAAAGTAAAGCACCACTCGTGGAGATGCTTACATGTGATTTAACCTTACTGCTGGCAAATTGAATGCCTATTACGCTTTGAAAGTCTATTACGTTGTTTAAGACTGTAACTTAATTACTCTGTTTTTGCTCCCCGGTTGCAGTGTCTCACGACATCCACTAAAAAGTCTTTTAAGACAATTGTGAATATTGATATTCTTCTAATGCCTTCTGATTGGAGTTGGCATTAGGAGACTGCCAAATTAATGGGTGAATTTGGGCATGCAAATAAATTAATGTTTTTTGGACAATTTAATTTTGTTAAATAACTCAAAATTTTTAATTATTTAAACTTACAAAATTATTTAAAAATTTGAACTTTTAAATTTTAGGCTCTTAGGGCTTCAAAATCAATTCAAATTAGGCTTCTCAAGCATGGCACCTAGTGCTTAAAAAAATTAAAATTTTGGTTTTTAAAATTTAGGATTCTAAATCTTAAAAAAAAATTTAAAATTGATTTCTTCAGGCTTAGAATCTTAGGGTTTGAAATTGAATTTAAAATTAGGCTACTAGGATTTAAAAATAATTTAAATCTGTGGCTTTTAAAATTTAAAAATTAGCTACATGATTTGCAATTCTAACACACACGCAAACAGAAGGTGGCCTTTTGAAAAGTCAACGTGATTTTGTGCATGGCTTAATATAAAATTAACAAATAAGCTTGCAAAATTTTAAATGATCTTATAAGCTCTAAGTCAATATTCAGTTTAGGGGCAATGCTTTGAGATTCGTACAGATGTGTTATGATCTTTTCAAGTAATTGTTCGAGCATTTCAATCTATGTGCATGCATTTTAATGGGATAACACAGTAGTCAGTAAAATTTCAAAGATTTTCAAACATGTTTTCATATTTGAAGACATACTCCGAACTTTAATATATGACATTAATATATGTGCTAGTAATTTTAAAAATGTGCAATTATAATCCCCGATTATGCTAAATGTTGCTATAAAGTGCTCAAATGTCATAACTACATTCCAGTGATATGTCAAGTTAACGTGCATTCATATGAATAATGAATATGTATATGATTAAGAGAAATATTTATGATTATAAGTTTCACACTTGAATGGTGTGCACAATTTCAAAAACATCCACCCACATGGGCTCAAGCTAAATTTTTAAATGTTGCAATGAATAACTTAGGCACGTTGCACGGGTTAAGACCAAATTTGCACTCAAATAGTCATATTTTGAAAATCAATAAATATCTATAAAATATGATTGTCAATCCTACCCAACTAGTTCGATCCTCCTCGTATGGACTCAAGTTAATGAGTCTAATAATTTACCAATAAAAGAATTACAAGTCCAAGTTACTTAGTTCGATTCTTCTTATTTTTAGCAACTATGAGTTGCATCCTTTTGTGCATGTTCAAAGAAAATTTAATACCTAATAACTAATTAAAATATTAAAATATTATAATTTATTAAATTTGTATAAATGAAATAAATTAAATTTTAATAACCTGAATATCATGTTTATTTTAGGATTTTAATCGACGTCAAGATAAAACAAATAATAAGTTAATCAACATCGATGTGAGTATTTATATTTTTTTGCTATAATAATATTTTATTTTTTCTCGATCGAATGCATTTACTATCATTGTTATAGTACTGCATGCTCATGATTTATGGTGTAATGAATTTTTGTTCATATTATAAGAATGAACTGTGTGCTCAACTTTGTTTAATTTATTATTAAATTATGTATAAAAATATTAACTGTTATGCAAATGAAATGAATTGTTATTATTTTATTCTTTCATGTGCATGATTGACTTTGATGGAGTCACCATTTATTGTACTAGTGGGGGAACACTACGGTGCTCGTGCATGTATATGAAAAATGATATTGATATTGATGTACCTTACTTGATACAAATATTCAGAGGGTGTTCTTATGATAGTTATATAGACATATAATGATATTGATATGTTGTTGATATAATAATATTCATTGAATTACATCATATTGGGTAACCGGTAAATGTTTATATTGATTTATTAAAAAGTTTAATTGACATGCATTTTGATTTTTCTTACCCTGCATTGCTGTAGTTTAGAAGTATGAGTATTCACTAGCCTGTTCAACTCACTTTTATTTTTTTCAAACTAAAAATTCAGGTTTAAATGATTGATTAAAAGATGAAGCAGTAGAAGAGAAATCATTTATAGAAGATGCAGATAACTAGTAACGAGGTAAATTTAAATTATTTTAAGTTAATTTGACTAGCGACTTTTTCATTTGTTAATAGTTATAAAAAATAAAGATGGAAAATTTAGTTCCCACCGTATGACCGTCTGTTACTGTCTTAGTTAATTCTAAGCCTCGGGTCGGGTCGCGACTCTTGCAAAATGAGGGAAAAATCTCTGGTTAGTGTTTTATCTACTCTTTCATTTGCCTTCTAAAAATTTGACCCTCAAAACTCTCAACAATAAAAACAATAAAATTTGAAATTTTGGGGAGTGGTCCGAATTTTCGAAGCCCACACATATACCACTATGTGACAAGATTCTCAAAATTGTACACTATGATGCTTATCCATATGTGTTTTACAGCTACTGGTGAAAGACTTAATGCCAACTGCAAAATTTGTGTTCATAATTCAATTGCTTGTAATGGGAAGCTTGATTAGGACACATTTTCAATATCATCATTATCTTTAATCAGGAAAATGCTTTTTTTAAAGCCAGTGCTTCGGACTCTGTTTAGAGATTAAAGGAAGAAATTTCACTTTCCATGGAATACATTTATAAAATTTACTCCTATTAAATTTAAAATTCCTCTAAAAATTGTGTGATTAAAAGAGTATTAAAAGGTGCATTTTTAATATATTTCAAATTTATGCTTCAACAACAATTTAAGGCAAAAACATCTAGTGGAAAAAAATTAAGAAATTGTGCTTAGAGTATATGAGTTAGCAATACATGCAGAAAGAGGTATTTTATTTACTAAAAGTTAACAATTGTTTGGATCTGGAACTTGATAAAGTATTAAAAAATTCTGAAGCCTAGGTGTAAGCTTCTGAGATTTTCCGTTGAAGTGAAGAAAAATTCAAGGTTAATAATATATGGACCCCCCCTACTCTTGAACTTTAAACTACATGGCTTTGACATAGATTTTCAAATAGAAGGTAGATTTCTGCTGCAGGAAAAAGCCAGGAAGGAGGCCTACAGGGAGAAAAGGGGCCCATAGGGAGGAGTTCCTGCTGTAGGAAGGGGATTTAGTCAGGCAGGTGGAGGTTCGTCGGCTAGGGTAAGTTCTGTTGCTTTGATACCATGTTAGTTTGGAGAATGAGTGGATTACTTTTATTGATATGGAATATTGGCTTAAACACAACCTACTAGAATTCTAAACTTAAGAAAGAAATAACACGATTATAAAAATCAAATGAAATAAACCTAAAACAAAAACTCATATAACTTGCCGGAAATAAAAGGAAATATATAAAGATGAAATAATAGGAAACAAATAAAATCCTAATATAACTTCTAACACTCTCTAATATTGCATGATTGAGCAACCACCATGCATCAATCTAAAGATGAAATTTAAATGCATAGCACTTGGATTATAATTATCATATCAGTTTTATATAACAATTGCACCTTGTGAAACTAGATGTCAATTTCCTTTTCTTATGTCTCCCTACTTTATAAGAACACCTCAATATCTCATTTTCTTAAGATGGAAGGTTAACCTATAGGTAGCTGTTAACTTTTTCTCAAGCATGTATTATGGATCAACACAATCTATGCTGTGATGGGTCCTTTATTATTTTTCCCTCTCATGCATCATTCGAATTATTTTTCATACTTCTAATCAGCCACATGTAGTACAATTTTCTATTATGCTTACGTCTTATGGAAGCTTTCAATGCTTACAACATTCTTTCATTTGGCCTTCTTCTTGCTATTTGTAGTGGGGGTACTATTGCTGGCCTTGCTCTTGGATCTACATTAAGCAATTTGCAATCGAAAGTATGTTAATACTAATCTTAGTTGCTTGGTTGATCCCTTCTGATATTTTTACTTTTAGGCAGTTTGTGCTTGATAAAGCAGGTTCATGCATTCTCTGTTTGTGATGATCCGGACTATTTCTACAACTATTGTCAAGGCCTTCTTGATGGGCTTCAAGCTGGGGTTGATTTACATGATATTGTGAACATTCAAGATGTGAGTTGCAGAACTATCAAATTTAAAGTTCTTGTCGTTTATTGACCTCTTTACTATTAGAACTCTATTTATCCATGTATTTAGTTTCATACAAATAGAAAGCTAACCTAGCAGAACAAAGAGAAAAAGTTTTTCTTGTATGTATGTATTTATCTATGAAAACCATTTTAATGTATGTTTAACAAAGTTGAGAATCATGAACATTTGAAAGATAAATTTTCTATGGAAGAGTAGTGCGTATGGACGGTATTGTTAGAAGTGCGTTGAGGTTGTTGTAAGTTTGCCGTTCTTATTTCCACAGTAATGACTAGGGGGCCATCTATTGTGGCATTTGAATAAAGCCTTGTACTTAGATTATTGCTAGGTTGACATAACATGCATTTTAACATGAAAATAAGATAGCGTCATCATGGTATTCAGTGTTTTTTTACTCCCCAACTGTTTTACATCTACACTTCTAATGGGTGGAAAAGTTGCTATTTTTTGGCACCATCAAATGTGCTTTAGGATTTTCATTCAATGATCAATACCTAAGCAATTACCGATGGATTCTAACATATAAGCTGACACTCAAAATTAACTCTACTTAAGTTTGAGTTCTGCAATATCACAGTGAAGCATCTTGTTTTCTAATGTGCTAGTCACTGCTCTTTGCATGCTCTTGTGCTGTAAAGATGACAAGATTGTGTGCCATAGCATATGATTTGGGCTAATAAGATGAAATAAGGCTTTTTTTTTGTGTTGTAAACTTTGTTGTACTGTAATCACTGGATCATAAAATAAGGATGGTGTATTATGGTCTTCAGGGCATGTATCTCTAGCTACTTATGTTGTTAGTGCATTGAACTTGTATTTTTTCATTTACAAGGGCAAAATTCAAGCGACCACTTAGAATAGTAAGAAAATAGGGAGAAAATGTTGTACATCATTTATCTTTTTTTGACAATTGGTCTATTAAATCATTGCTAATATGTATCAAAGATTGATCTCTAACATTATCTCATATTGAAAAAGAAAATAATAAAAAGTACTACTTTGCAAAAATGTAATTTATTTTGTATGAATATAGAAAGAGTGCGCACAAATATATATATATATATATATATATATATATATATATATATATATATAAGAGTGTGTGATAGGGAAAAC